GTTAACTATGGCGAGGCGGAGGCGTAGAATGGTTAACTATAGCGAGGCGGATGCGTAGATTGGTTAACTATAGCGAGGCGGAGGCGTAGATTGGTTAACTATAGCGAGGCGGAGGCGCAGAATGGTTAACTATAGCGAGGCGGAGGCGTAGATTGGTTAACTATAGCGAGGTGGAGGCGTAGAATGGTTAACTATAGCGAGGCGGAGGCGTAGAATGGTAAACTAGCGGGGCAGAGGCGTAGAATGGTGAACTAGCGGGGTGGAGGCGTAGAATGGTTAACTAGCGGGACGGAGGCGTATAATGGTAAACTAGCGGGGCAGAGGCGTAGAATGGTGAACTAGCGGGGTGGAGGCGTAGAATGGTTAACTAGCGGGGCGGAGGCGTAGAATGGTAAACTAGCGGGACGGAGGCGTATAATGGTTAACTAGCGGGGCGGAGACGTAGAATGGTAAACTAGCGGGACGGAAGCGTATAATGGTTAACTAGCGGGGCGGAGACGTAGAATGGTTAACTAGCGGGGTGGAGGCGTAGAATGGTTAACTAGCGGGGAGGAGGCGTAGAATGGTTAACTAGCGGGGCGGGGGTGAGGCGGAGCTAACTACGTTTAATGAGGGTATTGAAGAATTTTACTACTGAGGGTAGGGGCAGTGGGGGCGTAGAGGGGTTCTCTATTTAGGAAAGAAAAGTCAAAACCTGCTGGGGGCAAGAGATGGGGTGAAGGAGGGATAGGAGATTATATGGGGGCAGGTGCGGAGAAGAAATAAGCACTTGGGGTTGGGCGAAGTTGGGAAGGGCTATTAGGCGATGGAAGGACGGGTTAATTACATTTAGAAGAAGAATAAATAACGAAACTATAATACTAGTACATCATCACAATAATTATATGGCAATACATCAAGATTTGTACGAACAGATTAGAGATATGTGATAATTTACGCGTAAAGCACGCGCATTAGATAACCCGATTTCGGGGGGTAAATGTATATATCCACAGTTATCGTGACAACCTGTTCACTCAGAGAAACTGCGCGTGCGATAAGACAAAAGCTATGTTACTCAAAACGACCTTATCATGCCGAGTTGTACCGTAAATATTATAATAGCTGAGTAAAAAAAGAGTTTTCTAAATGCAATCCCTTTAAAACACTGTTGAAATCAACATCTCCCCGATTGCAGATTTTGTCGATGAAGTTAAAAAAGTGGCCATTACTTGGATCCGAAATATAAGAAACCATTTCTTACTAAATCAAAATATGAAAGCATTTTTAGCTTATGTTTGAGAGAAGAAATGGGATTAGGGGACGATCATTTAATTCGATTCTAAAAGTGGAGTTGATGAAAGGATTTTGTAGTTAATGGTCTGGCCTTGCCAATCAGGCTCAAAACAAGTAATACGTGCCCCC